CCAGACTTGGCTCCGTCCGATTATCATTTATTCACATCAATGGGACACGCTCTCGTTGAACAACGCTTCAATTTGTATGAAAATGTACGAAAATGGCTGGATAGCTGATCCGCTTCAAAAGAAGAAATGTTTTATTGGCGTGGCATTCATAAACTGCCGGAGAGGAAGGAAAAATGTATAAATAGCAATGGACGTTATTTTGAATAAAATATTTTTTATCATTTTCAAACAACAGACGTGTAATTTTTATAAAAAAATTCCAGTTTCATACTTCTACACCTGGTATAAACCCTCAGACTTTGTCTGTTCGAACGGAGTTCTTTAAATTAATTCATTTAAACGCGAGTGATTGTAATGTCGAAAACTTATTTATAACTTTTAGGGTCGAGATATAGAAAAATCAAATGCCGTTCCAAAACATTCTCGCTTATTCCTGTGATAACGCCTCCGTTATGACAGGAAAATATGAATCATTAAAAAAAAATTTATTGCAAAATTCCAATAAATTGCATTTAACATATAACGTGGTTATACGTTAAACATTAACGTATTTACGCTTCAATAACAAATTACCTTGCGGATTTACAGAATTGTGTTAAGAAACCGCATGTGCTGTTCTGAAGAGACTCTGCGGTATAGAATATGTTCTATGTCGAAGCGTGAGCGCCGTGTCATGTGGGATGGCATTCGAGGACTGAACTGGGAATGAATAACGCGGGACAATGTTGCCTGGGCGAGTTCTTTAAGATATCTTCGCACTTATTCACCTAAATTTGTATGTTAACTTTTCGCCCTCTGATTTTATGTATAGTTTTGGGTTTTGTTATTATTTACGTCTCCAATACGTATGAGTAACTTTGGCAGCGAAAGGGAGATCTACGCGTTACATCTTGTGTTCTATTACATACAAAACATTTTTAAGGACAATTTGCAAATGCATATATTATTGCAACTGTAAATATTGTAGTTTTTTACATGGTTTGTCCGGAAAGTAATGTCATTGAGTCAATTAAAAAAATTTATTGAACTTTTCGTTACAACATATCAAAATTCTTTAAAATAGGCTCCTCCTGCGTTGACACATCGGCTCCAGCGAGTTTTCCATCGAATGCGCCATGCTAGGCCACCTCCGGAATGTCCTTTAAAGCCGCGGTTCAAACTGCTTGGATCCTCTCAATGGTCTCGAAATGCTTTCCTTTCATGGGTCTTTTCAGGCGTAGAAACAAAAAGAATTCGGGGGGAGCTACGTCCGGACTGTACGGAGGCTGAGGAATAGTTGGCATTCCTGCTTTAACCAGGTAGTTGGTGACGAGGAAGGAGCTGTGGGCCGGTGCGTTGTCGTGATGCAACTTCCAGTCCTTTGCGATGTCCGGCCGGACGCGTTGAACCCTAATAAGTGTGTCTAACAACTGTGACAGTAAGCGGACATTCAATCGTCGATCTGTGTTCAAAAGTTCTTTCACTCGTGTCACATTGTCGTCCGTGGTGCTCGTCGATGGCCGTCCGGCGCGGGCTTCGTCGTCGACCTCTTCCCGGCCTCCCAAAAAAACCTTATGCCACCGGAACCCTTGCCGATCCGACAGGGCATATTTTTTAAAAGCTGTCTTGATTATTGGAAGAGTTTCCGCCGCGGTCTTGCCAAGTTTAACACAAAACTTGATCGCCATCCTTTGTTCTAACGAGCGCTGCATTTTTACTTGCACGAGGTCACAAAACGACTTCCACGGAAACGCATGTCCTTACTATGCGGCTGGCGGGAGAAAACTGACTGACTCAACATTCGTTAGCTGACTTTCCCCTCTACCATTCCCAACCGATCCGAGCGCGCTCTGATATTCAGTCGCGTCAAAAAAAAATTACTTTCCGAACAAACCATGTATGCGTATATATATTTAATTTGTAATTCTAATAACGTACTTTTCTTTTTCGTTTGCTTTAGATATTACTTTAGAGATTGCTTTATCCTTTGCCCGTACTACCTTTTCTTTTCCTAAGAAATGTTGTAAATTGCCTAATAGTTATTTTTCATATGTGACTTAGACAATTTTTTAAATATTTCTTCTTGATGGAAGAGACCCCCTCTTTCTCGCGTTTTTCATCGAGCATTAATGTGGGCTTGCATTTTTCTTACTTTTATGATTCTCTGATTTTTCATTCCTGAAACAATATCATATTCTATCCACATATTATTCACTATATATACACTATAATACCATTAACTATTATATAGCAATCTTTTCTTAATTTTGAAGCTTTCACATTAATGTATGAGCATGCCTCATATTTTCAAGATGTGATTTTATCCATATTTCTGGAAAAAAGTGAGTTTCCCCTTTCCTACGTTTTACATTGGAAAACACTGCTTACTTCATTTATCTGCGGTAGTTTTCACTGAAAGTTCGTTTACATTACAATTGTAAGAAGATAATAATTCCACGTCATATTCAACAAGAAACGATTGTTGAAATTTGACTATTTTCACATAAAATACACATACACTAAGAAAAATTACTCTGTTTGAAATATAAAATTTGTTTTGTAACGATAATTTACGTTGCAAGAAATTGTAAATTTCAATTGTTTCGGGCAACTGCTTGATAATTTGTTTTATTACGTAGAACATATGGGCTCTATTTGATATATTATTTTATATATATTTTATATATGTAGCATAAGATAACACATATAATAATTTTATGTTTAGTCTTTTCTTCCTTGACGGTACGTGTCTAAAGCAGTCGGCATATTACGTTTATATACAAAAGCGGCGTTATCTACGACACCAACCGCGTTAACGTTAGCCGCGGAAACCGGCGGCATTTCAGAAAGCTGACAGTGAAGCGGCGTAATATATTGTAATCGATACCCGACTCGCCGACGTCTTTGAGGTTCACCGATCTCTAGATATAAAAGGCAAACGTCGAACAGCTAGCGGATCAGTTTTTCGAGAAACTCTCAAGAGTTTCAACTTCGTGAGACAAATTGTACTGTGTTCTATTAAATATTCTTACAAGATTAAGACTCAATCCGAAGCATCGAAACTCTATTATCCTTCCACCTAATAAACTTTACTTACATATTTAGCGCTTACCGCTATTTAAAAAAGAACTAGTACACAGAAACAATGCTGGGGCGTGCGAAATAAATATAGAAACTTTAACCGGTTTAACAAAATCAAAATTCGCGCACGAAGGGGACGACGGCGTCGATGGCGAAGAAGGCCGACGGAAGACTCTTAAGATACGAGAGAAACTCGAGCGCGTCCGCGATGTTTGGGGTTTCAAACAAGAGTGAGTGGAGCCGCAGAGCAAAAAAATAAAATAACATGTAAAACAAAATATGAAGGAACAAATATGGGTGCGGAAACAAACCGTTGCCTTGATCACTAATTTGTTACAAAATTATAATCGCCGCCGTTTTTTTCAACCGCCACACATATATTATTAATTAGACTATGCTCGCGTCACTGATTAACAGGTAGAGCGGCGCATCCATTTATTTCGGAATCTTATCGAGGAGGAATATAGATGGAAATAAATGTATGGTATACTCTTGAATAAACATCGTACTGTTTATCAATTCTGCAAACAATATATATTTTGAACGAATACACACATATGTTTATCTTTATTATGTAATATTTATATTTTACGTGAAGATATATATTTATGCAATATTTATATTTTACGTAAAGATAGTTGCAATCAATTCAAGACATACGGGGTCATTAGGTTGGAAATACAATTATTTCTAAATAAATAAATAATATAAATAAATAAGTGACATAAAAAATTAATAAATAATATAAATAAACAAATAACATAAATAAACAAGTAAATCATATAAATAAAAAATATAAAAAAATAAATTTATAAATCAATTTCTTTTTCCATGAAAAGATAGTAATTATGCAGAATAAGAACTTTTCCGAATTTTGGTATTTTTTGCTGTAATCTTGATAAATATATTTGTTGCTACTCCAACATTGATAATAATCAAGCGGGAAAGCTGAAAAGTACGTAACCTTTCAGTTTTTAATTATTTTTTCTTACTTAGCTCTTCGGGTATTGTGGCACCTCCATTTCAATTTGCAATTCAAACTTTAACACTCTTTGTCCTAAGCCCGAGTATAGGTCGGTGTAGCGCGCAGACGGCAATTGCCGAAGGCCGAATATAACAGACCTGGTTATTTAATTCCATATGTTTCTTTTCAAAATTTATATATTGGTTGCTAAGTTACAACAACATACGTAACAATGTAAATTTTTTAATAGACATCAAAATTGTCCAGGATCCCATTAATAAATTATCTTTAAGGCCAAGGCTTCAAAATGTTAAGTAAACTGTAAATAAAAGAGTTTCCCACAAATTGAATATATTACTTATCTATTAATTGATTGATTAACCCTTTTCAACCCACATAACACAAAATTTTTTTAAACTTTCAACCTTATATCTTTTAACCAGTTAACTGTGGCAATCTCTTTGCAAAGCGCCCACCAGTGTGTGTCGCGATAATCAAGCGATGACGGGTATAGCTCTCATGAAATTATAAATCTAACTTAAATTATTTATAATTTTCATTTGTTTGTTTCATTCCGTTTTGACCTCTAAACATTTCACCCATATTAAAAATGTTGTAAAACCGTTCTGAAAAAATTTGAGGGTATTTTTTGACTGATTCTAAGACATTTTTGTTCTTAGGAATTTTTCACCAAACTTAATAGTTTTTGAGAAAAAAATTCGCAAAGTTGAAACAAAAAATTTTCCCTTTCGGACGCCATTTTGTGTCCGCCATTTTGAATTTCGAAAAAAATCCAACGGGGTTTGAAAGAGCAGACGTCTATAACACCGTTTACAGTGATTGCAATGGCGTGTGCATATTTTTTCCAACTCAAAATAAACATTTAAGAAAAACCGTGAAAAATTTGTGAATTTTTCGGAAAAACGGCCTATAACTTTTCCGGCTTACGATTTGGGTAAAATTTCTCAACGGCTTTCGAAAGAGGAGGTCAAAATCTATAAAAAATGATGTTTGATCAATTTTCATATGATTTTTTCGTTATAAGATATAAGGTTGAAAGTTTAAAAAAAATTTGTGTTATGTGGGAGAAAAAGGGTTAACAAATCACGTGTTACGTCCTGGATACCTCTGGAACAACGAATTCCTTTTTTTGTGATTGGGAAACAGACGGATTTGGGGTAAGCACTATTGCAAAAAGTATAAGATTACGATGGCACACCATCAAACACCATGTGTTATGATGTGGCGCCTTGAAGCACCCGTCACAAGAGGCGAATGCTTCGGAGGAGGTCTTATCACGGGTAGGGAGCTCCTCGCAAGCGTATAATTGATGCAGCGAGTTTTTTAATATATTGTATAGCGGAGACCGCGCACCTCCGGCGCGCGTGTATTTTCGAGGCAAACCCCGCGTCCCTTAAAAGTGTGTAGTCCACGCTCCGGATGGCGGCGAGAAGAAGAGAAGCAGCAGATAAAGCACAATTCGCCTAGTGGAGCAGAGGCAGCCCGATAACGCGGATTAACCCCAGGTGACTCTCCTTGCTCTTTGAGACTCTCAGAAGGGATATGTTGGTTCTCAGCACCTCCCACGTGCCAACCCCACCTCCTTGTGGTGTGAGTCGGAAACGCTGGAGGAGGTCGCAACTATCACTCCTCCTGGCGGCTGACGGGGCTCTGGCTTGGATTTACGCTAACCTCTCCCCGAGTGGTAGGGGAGAGGGCTCAGCGGGTCCCTCGTGGGATAATCTGCCGGCGGCTTGGTGCCGAGGCGCAGAAGGCACGCCAGCGCCTCGAGCGGTATGAAATCCGCTAAGACAGCAAGCTGGCGTGCTGGAGCCTCGGGGTTGCTGGCGAATTCTTCCTTTATTAACATAACACTACCGCGAACGGATAATCTGTTCTCACGCGGTATCCTGTAACCTTAACACCTTTCTTCCATCCCTCCTGTGAATTTCATGGCATAACCGCGAACAGATAATCTGTTCTCACGCGGTTAAAACCTAATTTCCCCACCTACATTTTCTCCACCTCCCTCAGCATTACCGCGACCAGGAAATCTGTTCTCATGCGGTTCCCCTAAAAATTACCCCTCCCTCCTCTTTCTGTGAGGCTGACTGCATTACCGCGAACACATAAGTAGTTCTTAAGCGGTCCAACGTTAAAGACGTCTCTTCCTCCCCACCGTGCTACCGCGGACAGTTGAACTGCCCTTATGCGGTAAAGCCCTATTATTCCCTTTCTTGTGGCGGCCCGTCTCCCAATTGCCCTCTTCCCCGCAGCCCTGGCGCTGCGGTGAAGCCGGGCAGGGGCTGCGTTATACAGACCTACCGGGCCCTGCGCTTCTGTGGCTCTGCCCCAGCGGCAACGGAACCGGAGGCATTAATATATTTTTCTTTTTCAGGTTCCCTAGTTCGTTGCGGTAGCGGAACGGGTGACGACGAAACAGTGAGGCGCCGAAGGATGGCCAGCGTCTCGAGTGGTATGAAACCCGCATTGACAGTCGCTGAGCTCTCTGGAGCTGAGGTGGTGCCATCCGACCGCATCACACAAACTCCCACATTTCCTCTCTGCAAACCACTCCCACATTCCACCAAAGCAGTACCGCAAACACGTAATTGGTTCAAATGCGGTAAAAACCTCACTCAC